CCCAAAATCAGGCAAAACAGGCAGGCAGATTAAGTTGCTCACAGAATCATTCAGTGATCTATCTATCTACCATTGGCTAGCTCAGTCTCTCAAATTTGCTTGCCATGAGTCTGCTGCACTGAATAATAGAACCTTCAGTCCTAAAGGAGGTTCAGCTGTGCTTAAAAACAGAGCCGAAGATCTAAAAGACTAGCTAGAAAGCAATAAATCCAACCATTTCCTGCTTCCTAGCTAATCTGAATCTCCTGGCACAGCAGAACAGATGATAGTCAGAAAAAGGAAAAATAGCAATTTAGCAGGCAAGTTTGCAGGGTAAGGAGTGAGTGGGCGGGGAGGGTTCTTGCAGGCCATGTGGGCTGCACAGCCTTGTGTTTCTGCGCAGCCTGGAATAATTGCTTTGCGGGGGGTGCTCTGGGGGTGAGATTTCTCTGCAGCCCACCAAAAATTTCACATGGCCCACCAGTGGGCCACGGCCCATGGGTTGGTGACTGCTAGTATAGGATCTTCTGCTTGAACAGGGGGGCTGGACTCCAAGGCCCCTTCCAGCTCTATTCCGTTCCATTCCGTTCTGTTCTGTTCATTTCCAACCCTTCCAATCCTAAGAAACAGAATCATCCAGTGTGTCAGGATTATCTGCTCCTTCCTGTAATGTAATTCTTGGAGAAAATGTGGGAAATCTTATTCATGTTTGTCTCTAACTTCAGCCACTATTTGCTTCAGTCTTCTCTGATTCAATTACTTGGAAGGAAAGGTGGTTCTCAACAGCCAGTAGGTTGCCACATCTGATTTATTATTGAAGAAAAGGAATATTTTGGATTACTTCACTCGTTTTCAGCACTCTCTATGATCCCTGATATCCAAGTTAATAATGATGTGTGTATAGTTTGTGTTGAACATGCAGATGGTGATGATGATATCCATTTAGTCGAATCTGACTCTTGGTGATTCTATGGGCCAGTTCTCTCTATATCTTCCAATCTTGCACTGTTTCTTTGAGTTTTTCTATGCTCTGGCTGGTGTCAGCTTTGATAGTATCCAGCCCCCATGTATTTTGATGGCCTGGTTTCCTGTTACCATTGAATATTCAAGATATCTGAATAAACAGTTATATGCAATAAAAAAATGTAATGAATGTAAATGTTTTGGGTTAAGTATATTCTGTTTTCTCTCTCGTAGAACTCTAACCTAAAAAACATCTGAAGGTTTCACTTTTTTATATATTTATTTAGATCTTCAGCCTTATGAAAACTACAATTTCACACTCACAGCATGTACATTTGCTGGTTGTACTACCAGTCAGACAAATTCAGGTAGAACATTGCAAGCTGCTCCTCAAGGTAAAGACTAATTTATTAACATTTAAACCATTTATGTATGAGAACCCTCACTCAGGGCACTATATCTAGGCACTGATTTTAAACAAAAACAACTCTTCAATTCCTTATTTGTTTAGTCAAAGAGGAATTGTGTTCAAATGGACCTAAGCAGAAAAATTAAAGAAAAGATGGAATGGCAACCCAAGGTAAATAAAAAAAAATGTTTAGAGAATGCCTGCCTAACACTCTTAGTCCTAAGGCACCTACACAAATTAAATGAAAGACAGAAAGACAGGAAGGAAGGAGTGAACACACAGATGCAGACACTTAGAAATAAACCTTATTTATAGACCATTTAAAAGAGACAATTAAAAAGCTAAGAAGGAAGACAAAAGACCAGAATAGCAACCAACAACCAGGTAAGTAGAGATTAACAACAGACAAACTATCAAGCAGAAAGCAATACCCTAATCAAACAACTACTAAGGACAAACCACACCCACACCAAGACTGCAAAGGAGCAAACCCCATACTCACTAGCATTGATGATATTACCTAGTCAGGTAATGAAACATCTGGAAAGAAAGAAAGAAAATGTAAAGGATTCCCTAAGTGTAATCTCCAGACCTCCATGTAATATTATAGGCAAGGGAAAGATCTCAAGCCCTTTTGTCAATTAATTTGATTTTCAGCAATTTCTTTACCCACATAACCCTGGATAGTGCACTTTGTGAGTGTAATTTTGTATATGTGTTAGTACTAATTAAAGGGAATGCATTGAATGATGTGAGTGATGAAACAAGGAGTGAAAAAATTTCATATATGCAACCAATCTCTCATAAATTGAAACTATGGAATGAGGCCTAACTTTTGTCAGCCACACCCTTTAAAGTACTTATTTTAGATTTTCTTTTTATTGTTTTTGTAAACTTCATTCCAAAATCAAGATATAAAAACTACAAATGGCTAACTATATTCCCAGACAATTGATATTTATGAAATGCTACTAACTGCGTCCTCTGATCCATGTTAAAATAAAGTGTGCTGAGACATAAGCTAAAACTGTCATATATCTAATCAATCCGGTGAGTTTTGTAAAATGTGCTAATGAAATGGACAAGAACCAATACGTTTAATTTTAGCTCATGCAAAACAGGCTTTTGTTTATGTCTGCCTGGACTGTGGGCAGGGGAGCTCTAAAGAACTATATTTTTCCTAAAACAAGTAGAGGCTGGACATACCTTGTAAAGCATTACTAACATAAGCTGCATCTGTGGCACAAGACAAATTCTCCTGGTGTACAGTGGTAGCATTTTGTGTAATTAAAGCTAAGTGAGCTGCCTTGTCGTCAAAACCTCAAATCCTCAAATTTTTTATTTATTTATTTATTTTCGTCAATTGCTTACAAGATAATAGGTATAAATAAAAACATAGTTATGAATACATGGATACATATAAGAAAAATAAAAAAATAAAAGAAACAAAAGGACAGGGACAGTAGGCATGTTGGTGCGCTTATGCATACCCGCTGCAGACCTCTTAGGAAAGAGGTAAGGTCAATAGTAGAAGTCTAAGGTTAAAGTTTTTGGGGTTTGGGGAAGAAGCCAGAGTCAGGTAGAATATTCTAGACATTGACCACTCTGTTGCTGAAGTCGTATTTCCTGCAATCAAGTTTGGTGCGGTTAACCTTGAGTTTGTATCTATTTTGTGCTCTTGTGTTGTTATGGTTGAAGTTGAAGTATTCATTGACAGGTAGGACATTGCAATGTATGATTTTATAGACTATACTTAGATCGGACCAAAGGCGGCATAGTTCTAGATTTTTTAGGTCTAGAATTTCTAGTGGTGGAATAAGGTATTCTGCAACGAGTAGAGGAGTGGAGAACTCTTCTTGTGAAATATTTCTGGACTTTCTCAACTGTGTTAATATCAGATACGTAATGTGGGTTCCAGACAGATGAGCTGTATTTGAGTATTGGTCTAGCAAATGTTTTGTATGCTCTAGTTATTAGTGTAATATTACCAGAGAAAAAGCTACGTAAGATTAGGTTAAGAACTCTTAACGCCTTTTTGGCTATGTAGTTACAGTGGGCTCTAGCACTTAGGTCATTAGAGATGAGTACTCCAA